ATACCTCAGGTATAAATTGTTATCTGAATTGTAATTGGCTACTTGGTCACAACCAAGCCTTCTTGGTCCGGCTCCCAGTATGTACACTATGCCCTTATCAGATGTTATATTCAATAGCAATGAGAATATTTCTTCGTAATTCCGCCGACTTTCCTGCCGGCAACGGTAAACATATTTCAAATGATGACAAAGTGTTGGAATCTACTTCCCCTCGCAACACAACTCTTATTTTAGTCAATCCTACGAGTATTCATGGAACTACCAATTGCGATTTATGCTCTAACCTGCTTCAACATGATAACTCTGAATTTCTTATTCTTTCGTTCAATACCCGCTCTCTGTCCAATAAAATTATTCATCTTAAAACCCTTTTATTCCTTGTAAATCTAGCCATTGTACTTATTACGGAAACGTGGTGCAATTCATCTATGTCCTATCAATCCTTGAATGTAGATAACTACGTTTTCTTTGGAACCGATAGATGTTATGGATTAGGAGGCGGTACAATTATCTATGTCCGTTCAGACATTCAGACGTGCAAAATTGAGGATAAATCTCTTGATGCTATAAACGACTCCACTTGGGTTACTGTAAACTGTGGATCGCAAAATCATCTACTGGTGGTATGCATATACAGACCACCTCATGCGGATACTACGTTTGACAGACTACTAACAAATATCTTTTCCATTACTTCGCACCAACCACATACTTTCAAAATCATCGAAATCATTGGGCTTGACTTCGGTACCAGGTCGATATAACAAGCTAGTTGAAACACTAGAAATTTGTGGATGGGTTCAACAGGTCCGAAAACCGAATACGGGTAACAACATGCTTGATTTGTTGTCTACAATCAACATAGACTCCATCTCAATACATACCAGTCATGAGATGTTTATAAGTGATCATCGGGCTGTATTGAGTATTATTCATTCTTTAAACTTCGTACAATTGAACCGCTACTATGAGCAGAATGATGTATATGCACTTCAGAGTATACTTAAATTAATCGACAGAAATGCTTCATCTAAACGTAAGTATTTCATGAATATAGAAAATAAAGCTCTACGTAGTAAAAGCCCAGAATTATCAATACTTCGACTTTTTAAATCCCGTGTAAAGTCAAATTCCCTTGGCACGACCAAATTCTTCATAGTTAATGGAAGCATTGTTAACGATACTAATATTATTTGCGAACAATTCAGCAAGCACTTCTCGCAATGCTACAAAACTGGAACTGAAAGCTTTATAATTACATTTCTAATGCTGACATCCAGACACCTACCGAAAATCGATTTCATACCCTCCAACATCAAGTAAGTCATAGCTCCCCTGATGGTGGACTTGAAGGGATCCCTTCATCGTTTGTGAAATATGGGAGTAGAGAATCACTACTATTTTGTTTGAAACTTTTCAAACTATCTATGGAATATAAGATCTATCCATCTGTATGGAAAACATCTCTTATCACCCCTAGATTCAAAACAGGATCACGTGGTGATATTTTTAACTATAGGCCAATTAATTTAACATCCGTGCTTCAAGAACCATGGAAAAATCATCCACAAACAGTTAATACCATTTTTACTTTCGGCTAGTCTGATCAGCCCATCCCAATACAGGTTTATGACCAAACGCCCATTTTTCACATCTGGCGTTTTTTGATCAAATAACCCAGAGAAGAGATGTTGGTCAGTCAGTGATAATTCTTTAATTCGATTTAAGTAAGGCTTTCGACAGTGTCTCACACAAACTTCTTCTTTTAAGACTCTCTTCATTCGGCATACAGAATCCCCTTTTATCTTGGCTCAAATCCTTTTAGGAAGAACGTAGCTAAATCGTTCGCCTTGGATCTTGCTACTCTAAACCTGTAAATGTAACCAGTGGGGTTATACAAGGAAGTGTGGTTGGTCCATTACTCTTTCTCCTTTTTATCAATGATGTATGTCCCCTCTTTCAGTATGGTAAGCCTTTCCTTTTTGCTGATGACCTGAAAGTAGTTTATTCATTCTCTTCTCCCACGAAAGAAAGCTATATTTCAGCGGTAATCCAGGAGAAAATAAACAAGTTGTACGAATGGACTATTTCGTGGAATATGCCACTTAATGTTGACAAAAGTGGATTTATTCACATTGGTCGCTGTCTTAACTTAAATCTGATTGTACAGACACATACACTCAAACCTCTCAACACTGTTCGTGACCTGGGTTTAAGATATAGCAACAGTCTGAACTTTTCTGAACACATTATATCTCAAGTATCCAAAGCTAGAAAGCTCATCGGATTGATAATGATAAACTTCAATAATATCGAATCGAGATTGTTACTATACAGAAAATGTATCTTACCCATTCCTGAATATGGTATTTTAGTTTACAGTAATTGTAGACATAATGATCTGATTAGAATTGAAGGTGTTCAAAGAAAGTTCACCAAAGCTGTTCTGGGGTATTCCGATAACAAAGACTATTACCAAAGATGTCAACAACTCAACTTAGAATAATAATCTCTGCAGATAGATATTTGATCCCATCTTGTTGGGAATGTTTTTATTGATCCCCAGGTACCGAACACTTTGGTGTTAACTGTTTCTTTTATTGTTTAGCGCTCTACTCTGCGTTAAAGAAACCTCTGACTGTACAGTACAGGCTGCACCGTTCAAGGTATTTTGTATTTTTATATAATTTGTTCTATTTCCTAAATTCTAACTGTTTAAATTGAGCAGGAAGTTTGTGTTTTGATGTAATTTAATACGAGTACCTCGAAAACGCTTGGTACGCTACACAGAAGAACTTAGTCTGACCTATTCGAATAAATTTTGGTTCGTCAGTCCTGCGTTCAAACCGAATACTGGCAGTTTGGTCGTTACACTAAACATTTTCCCATAGAACAACGAATCTTCAAAAGAAAGTCAAACTTCCTGATGAGCGAACTCCGAATATATTAGAATATGAATTTAAAAGTTCATCATCTATAAGGATCAGAATACACAAAATATTTCTAAGTGTTCTTAAGTTACTTCAGCAATATATATACCGTAGAGATGTCTTTCACTTCTATTCATACAAATCCTTTCACACACTAGACACTGTGCTTATTAAAATGTGGCACGTCTCTGATCTGCTGACTAACTAAATAAAGGTAAATCTATGTATGAAATTTATCGAGATTACTAAAGGAAGGGGAAAATCCTGTCACAAATCATTTAAGCGTGTGTATCAATTCATCTTTAGCTCGAGGTCGATTAACTGAAGACTGTAAGAACACCATGCCTAGTCCTATCCTTATAACAGGTACAAGACACAAACCTGAGACCTATCAATCCGTAAATCTCACCAGCCTAGTTGTTAAAATTTTAGAAAAGGGTATTTAGAAAGAGGTTTGTTTTTAAAGAGGAGCAAGACCTTAAACGGGTTATTCATGTTTCACAAACACGCTAGTAGCCTATGTAGGTTGATGCGCTCTTAAGGATCAAAAGTTATCTATGAGTGTGACATACACTGACAAACTGACAAAATTCCTCACAACGGGCTGTTGTATAAGCTAAGTAATATCGAGATAAGGAGCAACCTGTTTAGATTAAGGACTCTCAACTAGGCGTCAACGAGGTAAATCGGTTAACTCAAAGTTGTCTAGCTGAGAGACAAAACTCAGCGGAGTGCCTTAGGGGACATTTTTAGGGCCTGTTGTTTTTCCCGTATAAAAATGACCCTCCTTATCTAATATAGTCGTCGGTCTTGTTATATTCTGGCGATGTCTAGTTATGGAAATTAATAAGAAGTAAAGGTGATAGCTTGGAACTTCGAAATGCCCCACAGAAATTATTTGAATGTTTTCAAACTTTGGCAGTTGCCGATAAATACTTCCAAATGTGTTGTGATGTATATTGGTCATCAAGGTACACATAGATACATGATAAATATCATTGACTCACTTGTTGGCCAGACACAATGACTTGAGAGTCATCATTAGCCAAGACTTCAAAACTACTACTCACTGTCGTGCGATAATCCCAAAAGGTTTTAGAACCTTATGGTCAATAAATAAGGTTTTTAGCTATGTCGATGCTAAAACCTTTTCGACTTTGTATGCAGTATCCATTCGTCCTAAACTCTAGTACTGAATGCAAACAGCTAGCTACTGCCTAACGAAAAACAGTGAGCTGTTGGAAAAGCTGATTACCAGAATCGCAAAGCTCACGTATGATGCTCGCCTGGCTAGCCCATGTCTATTTCCCCTGTCATTTAGCAAAACAATAGGTGACTTGATCACAGTTTTTAAATTACTTAGGGATAAAGTTTCATGTGATATGCCCATACTTTTCTTGTTTTACAAAACATTGAATTTACGAGAACACTCTAGAAACGTTCACAAGCCCAGTATAAATTACTTGTCAGCTAACTATCGATTTTCATATCAAACCACCAACGAATGGGATTGATTACCTTAGAACGTAATTAAAGCTCTATCGGTCGACGTTTTTAAAAGAAGATTAGATCATCTGATAATATGGCCTCATGTTTCTCATCCTTCATCTGAACGTTTAATCTCTAGACTACCAAGCTGGCACCCATAGGTGTAAGTACCAAACGTCAACCGATTCACGACACTGTACGACTGTTTTCCATCGCTCATGCTAGATAGATGCCTCGCACTCGACATGGGTCACAAATAATGACCAGAACTTTGGATATTTCCCCATGAAGTTAGGCACTTGCAAGCACCGAAGCTTTTGATACCAAAGTTAGCGAGAGAGAACATGGATGCACACTGCTAGGTGGTTGCATACTAGGAAAAGTGTCTGTTTAGTGCCTCTGGGTTTTTAATCAAAGTCCATCATCGAGCGGTCTACATTTTCAGCAAAACAGAACACACCTTCATCACAGACTCATCAAAAACAACACTAACTCGTAGCAGATACTAGCGCTCTAAAATAAACCCATCTACCCGTTTTTCACTTAAATAATATTTCAGCTACCCATTACAATCCGAATGCTATTGTCTATTGGACATGATCTACAGGGTGCAATATTTGTGTTGTTGCGTTACAATAACCTCACAATTATGACTAACGATCCTGACCCTTACCGAATGTGGTGTGACCTTAAAGCCTACATAGATAAAAAGCCACCAGATACCTGTTCTGCTGCAACACATGATGAGTATTTTGTAGGAATCCAGAGTAGCTTTGTTCAGTTAATCACACGTTTCCCTCTCTTCACTGTTGAACATAAAATAGAGCTAGAAATGTGGAATGTTCTGTATAAAACTCAAATTAACTCACTACAGTCGTTGGTAAGTTTTCAAATATCTTTCATCATTTTGTGTAAATAGTCATTTAAGTTGACCAGGTGCATGTAGATGACTTAAATATTCAAATAAACTTGCTTATTTTATAACTTCCTAATTAAACAAGAACGGGAATGCACCGTCAAAAATTTCGTTTCCTGAAGGTTATGTAGGCAGTTCTAGCAAAATCAACTGACGATCAGGAAAGTAACTTTTAGTTGCAATGTCGTCTGTATTTACTTCAGATTTTCTTAAGCTATGTTGCCTATACTTTTGCTAAGTTCCCTTTTATTTCCCCATTCTTGTTTGTTTGGGTTGTAGATCATCAGGCTCCGCGTACTGTAGAATATCTTAGTATCGTAGATATTGTATTAAGGAATTCACTGACAGTTATGCCTCGACAGTTTTTAGTGTACGTGACAGTCCGCTTTGAGTTTCCCACAAGTGACGCATGGATAGCATCCATAAAAGGTTGCACAGATATGTATCATACCTCACGACACAGTAGAAGTTGACGCTGTTGGGAGGATAGAATGAGAGTATATTTAAACATCTGTGCATATGAAGGCACGAAAAATACAGTTCCTCATGAAAAAGTAAGGCTGAACAATGACAGAAAGTATGCAACTACGCCGTCGGGATTTATTTTAAACTATATCACCCATAGTCTCTAAACACTGATTAAAAGTATTTCGTGAGTGTTACACCTTAAGAATCAAATTATTGATCCTCATAGAACTGTACCATACCTTGATTTACCTAGTTCTGGTTATTTCCCAACCAACTCTCATGTTAGCCAACATTCTACATCAGCTCAGGAGTATTCAAGCATACGTAATACATCCTGTCCATTTCATCCCTAAATTTGTCTATTTATTATTGTCCATTAATATAATACCTAAGCACTTAAGTCGTTAGTTGATTGATTCTAGTATCTATCTGGAAATGAATCGTCCGAAATTTTCTGTTCTAGTTAAACCAACGTTTATCCGGTACCGGAAACAGTGGATCTCTTAAATGTTCTACTATGGAGCTCAAACTTCGATTGGTTTTATTGTTAGATCGTGCTTCAGGCATCTATTTCAATCTTATCTACCAATTACTTCAACCAATTTCTGAACTTCCATGGCCTAAAGTGGTAAGAATGTCCTGGATATTGTATCATTTATAACTAAAAGGTTATCACTAATTTTTATGAAGATCAGGGGTGTTGGATGGTTACTTGCCGATTTCGACTACTCGTAAATCCACGTTTTATCTCTATTTATTGTCAGTAATTGAAACGAAACCGACCAAGAGCAGTTATCGTGACATATTGGAAGGTTTTAGTTATCGCAGCGACCCATTTGAACGACACTAAAGAACAAGATCTCCTTGGAGTTCTATCGTAGCAGCAATGCCGCTCGAAGGCGGTAGAACTAAAAAATTTAATGTCACAACATAGATTTGAGTTTCTCTTTGATGTCCTAGTGAAAATTCTTGCTACTCGTCGAACGAAATTGTGACGTATTAAAATAAATATAAATAAAAAATTAATTATTTGAACACATAGATATTGGTACAAAGAGGCACCAAATACATATGTGCCACTCAAATCTCATTCGATTTGTGTGAGGGCTATGATACTGCCTGGGTGCCCAAACCGAAGCAGGTAGTTTTCTTAGGGGGCCACGCCCGGAGCCTTCGACTTACAGGTCTGATCCACAAGGCAGTGGAGCATCAAAAGGAGATGCAGTCCCATAATAGCCGGTGACCAACGTTCGGTTCATACGCCATTTGTTCCTTCAGGATACTGGGTCCCATATACACCATTGGTTTGAATCAGGCTTTTCCAACTCGCCTAGGAGGTTTCTCCATATCCACCAACCCGGTTAAAGCACAGGACATTCGTTTTTCGTCCTCTCACTTTCGTAAACATCAGTATTGCCACGGGAAGGCAGTGAGTAGGACTTCGCTGGCAGAGGCTGTATACGCGTGGCCACGTGAGAGCATTTAGAAAGAGAGCGGACTCCCCACTCTCAGCCGTACCAGGGCATTTGATACTGGTCAGTGTATCGTACTTTATACCTTTGTGATTTATGTTGTAAACCATTTATTTGAGAACTAATAGGAATCCAGATTTAGTGTTATTTAATCGAAAAAATTTTCATCTTGTTCACGAAGACTACATGTACCGTACTAACTAGATATGTTAGCAGAAAGCTCATTACCAACTTCTTTTCTTCGTCTAACCATAAATTGCTCAACAACGATCCGTAGTGTGGCGATTTGGTCTGTGTACGACCGATCCTTACGGAATCCGATCTGTTGATCTCGAAGCTGGACGTTTATTAAATCTTTCATCCGGTTCAGCGACACTGTTGAAACTTCTGGTACCGACAGTAGTGTGAGGTCCTCGTAATTCTCACACTTTCTCAGATCTTTCTTCAATATCTCGATGAGTTACCCTTCATTCCAATCTGTCGGTGGCATTGTTCCTCGTTCAAAATCTTCCTGAATAGCATGTGAAGCATGTTTGCAGTTGTTTCTATGTGTGACTTTAGTGCTTCGGCTGGTATATTGTCAGGTCCTACTGCTTTCCCACTCTTCACTTGTCTGATAGCCGTGCTGATTTCTTCCGTCGTTGGCGGAGTGACATCTATAGTAAGGTGTGTGTGTTGCTTCGATGTCCGTTGGATCCAATGGAGCTGGACTATTCAAGAGTTCCTCAAAATGCTCTACCCATCCTTCCACTGTTCTTGAATCTCAACGATTGACTTGTCTTCTTTGTCCTTGACCGCTCACTCTGGCTTACCGTATTTCCTTTCCAGTATCTTCGTTGTGTCATATAGTTGTCTCACATTTCCTTCTCCTGCAGCTTTTTCCGCTGTCGCTGCTATCTCTTCCACGTATTTCTGCTTGTCAGCTCTAACGCTCTTCTTTACTTGTTTGTTTGTTTGTTTCTGTGTATTCAGCTTGTGCCCTGACTTTCTCTCTCTGCTCCTTTTTGACTGCTGTTAATTGCTGTCTTCTTGTTCTTCCTTTCTTGAATCTTGTGTTTCGATTGAAATCCCTTCCTTACGATGACGCTTGTTGTGGTTCAGCACCTGCTGATACGTTGAAGGTAGCGCTTCCTTGATCCCTTTCTACTTGTCTTCCATCATAGCTTCTTCCTTTTTGAGATTTTGTAGGGCTGGGACTTGTTGTTCAGAGCTATTTTGAATTGGTTAAGTTTGTCAACATGTCGAAGGAAGGCTTTGTTGAACCTTTGTACTGCCGTCTCCCCAGCTATCCAGCATTTTTTTCCAGCTTCGATTTCACCTTGGCAATCACCAGCGAGTGGTGTTCTGAAGCAACGTCAGCTCGTTTGCTGGTTCTCAAGTCTTCCATTGACCTCCCGAATTATTTATTGATACAAATATGATTTATCTGGTTCTGTGTATTGTGATCCGGTGAGACCCACATAATTTGTTGTATGCGTTTGTGTGGGAATATTGTGCCGCGTATAACTATTTCGAGAATGCACATAGATTTGCAAATCTCTCACCATTCTCGTTCCTTTCTCCCAGTCAGTCCATATCGTCCCATGATATCTTCATACCGTTTGGGGTCCATTCCAACGACCGGTTAGGTCTCATCACGATGGTCAATTGCTTTCCTGAGCACTTCTCTATGATGACTGCAACCTCTCATAATACTGATCTTTATCATCTTCGTTGCTGTTATTGTTGGGTGCATAACATTGGATAACATTCATTGTGATTCCCTTTTCTGTTTTGAAAGATGCTTTGATGATACTGGGTTCATGATATTCCCATTCCCTAGGTGCTTTGAGTATCATCAGTGCGCGAAGCTTCTTTTTCACGACCAGGGTAAAACAGCCTCTCTCTCAAATGTAATCTTTTCTGTCCAGCTTGTGTCCAATGAGTTACGTCTATAATTAGCACTGTCAGGTTGTATCTCCTCATTTCCGCAGCTATTTAACTGGTCCCTTCAATCTCCTACACTGTCCGAACATTCTTATGTCTATGTTAATTGTTTATCTGATTGTCAGAAGGAATATCGACCTCGTAATTTCCGAAGAATCTCGAGTTTCACTATAAGGCGTCACCATTCTTCAAAATGAACATTGTTCAACTCCAAGGACAGAGTTTAAATGGTTTACATTTTTTTCTGGTTAGCGTTTCTTTAGCAAAATTTCTTACTATGGGATGAGTTTGCTGACCACATGCCCAACTTTCCTACTTTTTCCGGGCTTAGGACTGTTGGTAGCCCTAGAAGGGCTGCAAGCGGAGTTATGAATAGTGCTAAATTTATTCCAGATCTTGTCATCTTTTTTTTGAAACTCATACACCTATCGTTCAGGTAATTAATTACTGTCCCTAATAACAGCACATTTAAAGTAAGTATGCCTTGTCAAATAACTATAATTACGAGTGTACCGATTTTATAAGTGAACTTTTAGTTAAGGAAATTTTTTCGCTGGATCCTATTTACTTTTTTATTTGATGATACAGCAGATTAATTTAAATATGGTTTAATTTTCCCAAAAAGCCTATTATCCATATCGGTTTCAACTATTTTCTTTTGGTTAGCGTTTTTTTAGCGAGTTAGTTTCCTACGTTATGGGGTCGCTAACCCCATGCCTAATCATCCTCCTTCATGAGGGCTTGAGACCGGCAGGATCCCCGAGCGGGGTTATCACTAATATTAATTGTTATTATGCTCATTCCGTTCGTCATACGGTACCATCTTGTCAACCCATCACTGCTATTTGTTTCCTCGTTTTGTTCTGTTTTCTGTCGACACAGATACTGGGTATCCTTGCGAGCGTCGACGGCATGTTAGACTCAGAGAATAATAAGAAGGGGAAACATGTTTCTGATTACCTTGATCTAGATCTGGCAACTTTTTCCGCCAACAAAATATGCAGTAAAAGAATGAAAGATACTGAATCAAACAAATTTTTATCAATCACACAAGAATCAGATACAAATGTTATTGTACCACGTATACTATCTAGAGGTGATCGACTTCCGTCAGAGATTATGACAGTTTCTTCAAGTGTAGAAAACAGTAAAATCAGCGGCCAAGATATGAAATACCCCGACGAAATAGAAAACGAAAAAGAAAAAATTAATGTGATTACTAACCAGAGTTCTAATATTCACTGTTTGGATCAAGAAGCAGCTGTTATTTACCTAGTACATCACTGTTTAGTTCATCTTGGAGATATTGCACGGTTAGTCTATATGTCACACTTTCTAATTGTGCTTTTTCAGTAACCATATATCTAACAACTATCTTAACTTCATTTAAGCGACTAAACAGTTTGTAAACGTTTCACATAGTGAATCTATTTTAACCGTAGTTGACGGAGATTATTCGCATTTTGCCTACATTTGTAGTATGAAGAAGTGGTTTGAAAAGCTTTCTCAGTGTTTACTTTAATTTTAGGATTAGTTAACAAAAGTTTGGTAAATGGAATGCTCATTATTTTTTCTATTTATATGCATAACATTCACTAGATAGGTCCAACAACTTGATTACATTTGACGTAATGTTTTTATGATTTGTTAGGCACTTTCTTTACTTTGTGACAATATGCACAACCTGTTGTGCATGAACCAAAAACACGATAAAATAAATATTCAACAATTTTACTCATAAAATCACTGGTATTCAGCTTTATATCCTTAACAATTTCCCTTATTAGTTCATTCAATTTGTCTTTCTTTTTCAATTATCCCACTGTATCTTTCCCTGATTTATATAAGTCCTTCGGATGTCGTTGTTAGTATTTATACTGACAGTTTTGAATCTGATAATTTAATCAAACTTGATTACATACTTGTTTGTTTTACCTAGTAGAGTTTAATCCCTTCATTGAAAAATAATGTTTTTGTACAAACATTAAACAGTAATTTGCTAAAAATTTAGTTTATTCGAATGTTAAAATAAGAGAGAGTTCTGATTCTCAAAGTTGTACAATCATGAGTATACACTTATTTCTTTCATAATGATAATAATTACAATGATAGTTATGGTAAAATTTAGTTAAACTTGATAACAATCAGGTAAAACCAATAAAAGCATTAAAATGTTATTTTTATTAAGAAAACTAATAATAATATTGTTTTTAAGGGCTTGAATATTCATTATCCTGCTTCGGTTTGGGCACCCGAGCAGTATCACAGCCCTCACACATATCAAATGAGATCTGTGTGGCGCATATGTATTTGTTGTCTCCTTGTACCAATATCTATGTGTTAAAATAAATAAATAATATTATTCATTATGAACACAGTTAAAGAAATTATCGTTAGAAAAGGAAGGTTCAATGTGATAAGGTAAAATAGGCTTGAGTATTCATTTCAGTTTCAACAATTTATCTCATCATCACACTAAATCTTCCATTTCCAGTTGTAATTTATTTATTTATCTTCATGATGAATATTTAAGCTTTCAATAGCACTATTACTATAAGCAAAAACTGATCAATTGTAGTCCTTAACATCAATAAGAAGTATCAAATAACCAATACAAAGATGAATTAAACAATATTATTGTTATCCAGTGGAGTTCAACCAGGTCTGTTGTGAAATATCAGCTCACTGAAGACAATGGTATATGGTGGCGCAACTTCGTGGATTGTTTGAAGTTAGACATTAACACCGTCGGATGCCGACTCAGTGGTCTAATGGTTAAGTACTCGCGCGCGAAGCCAGTAGGTTCCGGGTTCGAGTCTCGCGTGGTGCGTGATCGCGGATGCGCACTGCTGAGGAGTCCCATACTGGGACGAAACGGCCGTCCAGGTTTTCCATGGTGGTCTAGCTTCAACTGACTCATGATTTCAATCTGTGAAAATATTATTGTTGTTTAAAAATCCCCATCAATTTAAAACACAGATATATAAACGAAGAATATTCTTTTCAATAAATTCTCTTCAAGTTTCAAAACTATATATCTAAATTAATGATCTAAAAAGTGGTCAGATTTAAAGTAAAGTACAGTGTTTGGAATTATAGGATGTGAATTTAGGATTGTTGAATACAATAAAACTGTTAATGTTGAAATAACTAATTTATAATGTTAACTTGAATAGGCTTATACGTTAAATGGAATTATGAGATTTATGATCAGAATAAATATGGATCAGATAGGTTAAGAGAAATATTAATTCGATTTCAGATCAGATCAAATGTTTAGTGGAAGACTATTGTGTAAACATTTATATGAATTTATTAGAAAATAATGTGCGGTAAATGTTATATAGATGAATCATATATTCAAGAGATTAACAGCGATGTCAAACCAATGCTAATAATAATACAAAGATATGTTCATAAAGATAAAAAAAAGAGTTATATTTGACCAATAATGGTTGTAAGTCAAAGTAGGTCATCCAATAGTTAATAATTTTATTGGGTGATTGGCACTGAGGTTTGCCACTGTAAGAGAGGCAGTTGAGGATACATATAGCTCCGGTATTTTAATTTGAATGGTCACTGCTTAATAACATTTTTGTCTTTATTTCTTTCACATCACTGTTAACTTGTTTGGCAAAATTGTATTAAAACTATTATTATTATAATTATTACCTTTTTGACAAATAATTATATATTTCCGATTGTGTAGCTTTAAAGTTAGCGAAAAAGAGAACTCTTCGCTAAACCAATTTTTCTTATTTTATGTCTCAATGTGTTTATTACATTTACCATTCGAATACTGTCATTTTCACAGTTCTTAAACTAAGCATCACATTTTTAAATTAATTCATTAAGTCCACCTCTCCAGTAGCCCATCTAAAACGTCATATCCAATAATCTGATCAATACAAATTTAATGTCCCTTGCAATTATGATCGGTAGCAGTAAGTACCAAACTTATCTTGTGTTCTCTTTTCTTAGGCTTATTCCCGATAGTTGGTGTTTAGAACAGGAATTCCTAGCTACTACATATAGTGACTTGTTTTGAACTAGTTCTTGTTTAGCTTCTATTATATATAGTGTTTTATTCACCGGGATAACCCACCCGAGGTGGATTACAGTCAGAAGACTGTCCCGAATCTCCAGAATATTTGAGTACAATTGTATTTAAATAAAGAATGGTTTTACAATAAATAACGATTAGCTTATTCTAAGAAATTCACATTCAAGCTGGAATTTTAAAATCCACGCATTCAAAGGTGACCCTTAGAGGATTCACAGAAATGCATCTTCAAACGCACTCGAAACAAATTTATTGCATCAAATCTGATGTTAGTTTATTTTTACCCGGCCTATCTTCATTAATAACCCAATCAATAAGCTGTCACATCTGAAAAATATATTGGGGAGCTAGGTACATTGGTATTCCAATATGCATTCTTTCTAAAATTGTTCATAAACATTATCTACTACGTTTAAAAAGAGGCTGCAGTGCATTCTTAGGAGCTCATTAATCGAATACCTCATAAACACGGCTAATTCGATCAGAAACACGTTATTCAAAGCCATATACAGGGTAGATGTAAGGTTACCAACGGCAGTGAGTTTTCGTCTTTTTCGAATTGTTTAAGCTTCCCCTTATCCATTTGTAAAAGCCAGATTTATGCGTTCAAAACAAATTAATCCAGCTGATCCCGACCGTTGTTGCTACCTTGACGTGGTGGTCGGGCTTGCCTATCATGATGAAGCAGCCGAGCTATACTGGCTGGAACAACCGTTCCTCAAGGTCCTACCATGTCAGACAGGTCGGTTGAAGTGCGGTAAGACTAAAAGCAGCAAACCCAAGGTCCGAAGGCGAAGTCGTACTGCTGACTGTACAGAGGTGTGACTGCAGTAAGGTGTTTCCTTCAGACAACCAGCATGACAGCGATGCTGCCTTCCCACAAGGAGGGGTGGGGTTAGAAAAGGTCGACCCTAAGAATGTCACACCTCACCTTACCTGACGGATTCCCGTCTCCGGCGGTAAGGTCTCAACAAGTACGGAACTAACACAAGAATTACCCATGAAAAGGTCGTGTGTGGCTGACCTCAAGCAGTTGTCCCTTGGGCACTGCGGTCACGTTCCCAGGTCACTAAGACCACCTTTAATCCAATTTCCTTTTCAGGTACCTCCAGAAGAACCCTTCCACGGTGTGGGCAACCGGGAAGTGATAACCGCCGTCAGACCTCTAACAGCAATCAAGACCACTGTATACATAATCAACCTCCGTCTTCACTGTATTCCGAATCCAGCTGATTCTTCTGCCATAGTCTTCACCTTCAGTTTTTTAAAGCAATCTCTTCATCTACCTCTCCTGTTATCTTGACGTTTTTTCACTCATAATTAGTTTGCTTCTTTTCTCATATATTTTCGAGTTCATTTCACTTCAATCCTAGGGTTTATCTTATTCACAACCCACTTTCACGGTTATTCATATTTATGTCAATTCTATGAAATTCTTGATGATTATTTAACCATTACTGTTATTATTCCTAGATTGCTCCTAGTTCCATGTTTATTAATTATTATCATCAACAAACATATCGTCAACTAACATTACTAGAAAAGGATATGTGTACAATTGTACGGGTTTGAGAGTTATTAATTTGCGTGAAACAGATCTTTCTGGCACTATATTTTGTTTTTGTAGTCTAATCTCTCAAGGTTTATGTTTTTTCAGGTATCGTCAACAGCCAAATGTTGCCGCTGGTTATTACCTTTGGTCTTGGGTTGTACACCCTGATTCTGGTCATTCCTTCAACCAGTTAGCTATTTTAGAAGCAACTAAGGTAGTTAACCATCTTTTTTTACATATTTGTGTAGAATTTGCAAACCGTTAAGTAAAGGTTTAATTTGTAATTAATTTTCATCACAGTTTTAAAACAATGGAGCACTAGGTGAAAATTTCGTCCTATTTTCAGACTCTTAAACAGTCCATACCTATGATTGCCAAGTTCTACTTCTAGAACACTGAATTGAAATCTAGTGGTGTATATTGTTTGATCCAATCTAGTCACAGCGTAGAGCGACAATCATTCAATGTCTGTAGTGTGGAATAACAGTCTTACTCTTGACAAAGTTAGATCCCATTAGGCATGGTTGTTTATTCAAACTTCAGAATGAGTTCCAAAGCCATCTATTTGTGATTGACTTTCAACTAAAGAGCTGATTGTATGTTAAATTTGAAATCGGAATATGAACATAGGCATACTATTCAGTCGTTTGTTTTCTATCATCCGAAGAGTTTTTGCAGAATATATCAAAGTTCAGACTTGGAAAACTTATTTCTCACCATTTTTAGAATGGGTTTTGTGGAGAAGTTTTTTGGAAATTTCATAGGTTGAAATCATGACTCGATTGCTTCCAGGTTTTCAATGGTGGTCTAGCTTCAACTGACTCATGATTTCAATCTGTGAAAATTTCTAAAATCTCCACAAACCCCTTCTGATAATAATCATCTGCTCACTAGTGACTGACTTCAAGAGATACTCCTGGAGTTCTGGTGGAGTTCAACTAGGTCTGTTGTGAAATATCAGCTCACTGAAGACAATGGTATATGGTGGCGCAACTTCATGGATTGTTTGAAGTTAAACATTAACACCGTTGGATGCCGACTCAGTGGTCTAATGGTTAAGTGCTCTCGCGCGAAGCCAGTAGGTCCTGGGTTCGAGTCTCGCGTGGTGCGGGATCGCAGATGCGCACTGCTGAGAAGTCCCATACTAGGACGAAACGTTCGTCCAGTTCTTCCAGGTTTTCCATGGTGGTCTAGCTTCAACTGACTCATGATTTCAACCTATGAAATTTCTCACTATTTATTTAGAAACTATGTTACATTTAAGTTGAAGGTATGAATAAAATGAGGGTTTGCATATTTAGTCAGATTTATCGGGTGATTCCAAGATAAAATATAAGTGACCTTTTAAAATTCCAGAATTGTAAGTAAAAGTAAAATAAATTATCTACAAAGATGTAATACTGTAAATACAGATGTAATTAGAATTTTCTTAAATGTCCAGTTTTATGATACATCTTACTGCGAAATATACCAAATATAGAATAAGAATTTAGGATAGTTCAAAAGAACCGACAATGAACGATGATTAGTAGACAAACAAGCGATTAGATCTTAACAAATAATATATCTTTAGGAAGTGTTCTTCACAGCCATCCCACAACAAATCAAATAATCAATGTTTATCATTATCTAAGTCATATATGTAAACGATAAAACGGCCAGTAATAATAAGACAAATAACAAGTACGCCATCATGAATGAGACTTTTAGTCAGTTGATCAGTCATAATCAACAAACAACCTGGTACATATGTGCGTTGGCTCAAGTCCCCATGCAATATTAGCACTAGATGGAATTAATAATGTAAATACTGAAAGTATTGCACCACCAATATTAATAAGAAAGACTAAACATTATGAATATTATTCCAAAGGATAAAGTGGAAATGTGTTATAGCATGTGGCCTCTGTTAACAGATCATGCAATGATATCGCCAATTAGAATCACCGACTTATTGACCGGACCAATGACGCATAAACCAGTACGAACAGCCCAGACCCCTTATTGTTCCCTTGAGATAGCAGCTTTTCGCCTAACCCAGTCGATTCAGTTCAGAACGCAAATATCAGTCTCCCTTATGTGGAATCGTATATTTCAAACAAACTTGGTTTATATGCAAGCAAAATCAGACCACTTCACACCATAAAAGAAAAAGTAACATTTTTACAATATCAAGCCAAATTTATTATTTATTTCAACACATAGATAATGGTACGAAGAGGCACCAAATACATATGTGCCACACAAATCTCATTCGATATGTGTGAGGGCTGTGATACTGCCCGGGTGCCCAAACCGAAGCAGGTGGTTTTCTTAGGGGGCCACACCCCGAGCCTTCGACCCAAAGGTCTGATCCACAAGGCAGTGGAGCATCGTAAGGAGATGCAGTCCCATGGAAGCCGGTGACCAACAATTGGTTCATTCGCCATTTGTTCCCGCAGGATACTGGAGCCCATGTGCACCATTGGTTTGGAATCCGGTTAAAGCGCCGGACATTCGCTTTTCGTCCTCTCATTTTCGTAAACAACACCCCCGCCACGAGAAGGCAGTGAGTAGGACTTCCCTGGCAGGGGCTGTATACGCGTGGCCATGTGAGAGCATTTCGAGAGGGAGAGCGAACTCTCCCCACTCTCAGCCGTACCAGGGCATTTGGGGGCCAAAACGTGGTTGTGATTGTGAGAAACTGTGACTAATAGATTGAGAATAACTTGAGAATAGTAAATCATATAACAGTAACCAATAGGTCAAATAAAAGCTTATAATAAGAGGAACATAAATATGTAGTTTAGTTTCTTAACAGTTATTCAATAAGAATATATGTATAGTTTTAGTTCAGAAATAGTTTTCAGAAGTTACTCGTAGTTTAATCTTCACTAGGATATAACAAAAGGTATATATAAAGAGATACTGGAACTCATGATCTAAATTAATATAACGAATGGATGCATCTTCATCTGTTAAATTGATCATGATTGCTGGTTTGTCCTAGTTTGTATGAAACAATAAGGTACCTTACAAACTGTTATATAAGTTTAGGGAATAACAATACAATTTAATGATATAAACTGTTAGTATTTGTTAATATTATTTATAAACTTGTTTCCCTATATATATATATTTTTTTTTCTCATTTTAGCCTTTACCTAGAAGATGTATGGATGCTTTATTTTATTACTATATACGTGCACTAGCATGTCTACATTCATTTCCTGCTTCTATGAATAATTTATCTAATGTGTTGTTGGACTATTACAAGTCATTTGAGTTATCTTCTATATATTCTAATGATAATAATAATAATCATGAGAAACTACCTACTGATTCAACGAGAGATGTAATATTAAGTGCGAAACGCTGGCCAAAATTTACCAATCAACAAATACGAACACTTATACAGTTTTATGCCGCACTCCATTTGCATACAGGTACATAGTGTAGTTTATTATTTTTATTACGTAATAAATCACACAAATCGCACTGCTAATGCTATCAGATATTTAAACTACTGATGAAGTTTTGCCACCCATGAAATATCGACTTTCTGGTGTTTAAAACAGTTTAAAATATTTTGACCATCAGTGTGTCCCTATATCTTCCTTTCGGTACAGTAATTATTTCTAATTACAAAGTGTAGTGACAGATATCCTAAAAAGTATTTTATGGATAGGACAGACAATAATTCAACCTTTTTCTTAATGCATAATTATTGAATATTTATTCACAGGCAATGAGATGTTGGCCTTACGTTGTGTAAAGTTGAAAGTGCTTCGCACTAACTGGGGGATTTTCGTGGTATGAAAAGACCTGGCTAACTTAAACATCATATTATCACTAATAATTTATGTATGATTTAGCTTATTCGTGATATCAGTTCAATATATGTTTGTGGTTTTTTTAAGGTATATTTAAGTGCGAACTCATCAGGTCTCATCCTTTCTGCAGTACACGGAAAGGGGTGAGAGAATTTAAACTACAGCCTAGTAATCGACTTTTAATTGATTCTGTCTATGAGTCAGTACTCCAGCTATTGTTCATTATTTTGTGATTACTGAGACTGTTTGTAGCTGTTTGAAAAAATATATCATGTAATTTATCTATCATTATATCTGCATTTGACGAAGACAGCAGTTTTGTTGTTCAGTATTTTAATTCTCAATGATCTTCTATATATATGACCTCACAATTGGAGGCAATACTTTTTTCAGAATCTATTTCTTTTACTCTCACCATATTAGATCCTGTCAAACTGATAAAAATGGCTGATGATCTTTTCGAAAATATGAACACTTGGAATAGAGTAGAATTGAACAAAAATCAGTTGATACGTATATTGTGTATTCATTTCTATTTAACTGATCAATACTTATCAGTAAGTTGTTTCATTTTATATGTCTTTACAGTGATTTCGTTCTTTACTTTCATAGTAATAATGTGTTGATTTCGTTGACTGAATTTTATATACGCAATCTCTCCAATGAATATACGAGCCGAGGTCGTAAAAACTTCGTTCCACAAAATTTATCTTACAAGACTAATTATCGGTTGCAATATTTCCCCTTTTCTGTTTCCATTGTTCCAAACCTCCATGGGGGTCCTCGGAACCGAAGTTCTACAGCTACCTCATTTTTCTATATTTCTATTTCGGTGTATTTCATCCGATTTATGTCATAATGTGGTGTGTGCTACTTATGTCGACATAAGTAGTATATAATGCTAGCCAGGAAGAGAATGGTGAGAAGATCAGGGAGGGAAGAATGGGAACAGAAAGTAATTCGTATGGAAATGTAGGAACAATCAAGTTTGAGACAATTAATGAACATTTTGCAAATGAAGTATTAGAGTCTGGTTTTTCTATTTTATCAAGTAACTGTAACTTTGTGCTAAAGATAATCGGTTGTCCTCACCTACGTTCTACTTCACTACAATAGCACTTTCACTGTGTGCGTTTGTTTTGATAACATTTAGTTATTATAAGCAGTGTAGAGGCTGGGACAAGTATGTATTGTGTTGGGATATTCAGAAAAATATCCCAAAAACAATTATCCGGTTAAGTCTAATGCTACCCTTGAACGTTAAATGGTGTCATTTTTCTATTGGACGTTTCCCTACTAATCAATATTTATTTCGCGTGTCATTTCCCCATTGGTCAATATTATTTCACGTGTTATCTTTCTGTTGGTCAATATTTATAGTAATCCTAACTGTATAAATATGCATTTGTTTGTAAATCATTATTCGGCTCCTGACCCCATAAACAATTTCTCATCTACGGTTCGTGTTCTGATATATTGGAGATTGGGAACAGTATTGGGGTCGAACTGGGATATCTGAAGCTAGTCAATCGGTAGAAATTAGAGTAGTCACCTCGCGATACATAACAATTTGGCGACGGAGATTCAGCAAAGAATTTAGTGATTAACCATGGATCCAGCCAAACTAGAAAAATTGTTCGAACAGCAGTTGAAGCTGATGGAGATGATTGCTCACACGCACATATCTTCTCGAGTTCCAACTACATCGACAATTCCTGAATCAGTTGATGGTATTACCAGTGGTATTTCAGAATTCCTTTATGATCCTGATGCCAACATTACATTTGATACCTGGTTCAGACGTTATGAAGACGTTTTCAAAGTTGACTTTGCTGACAGAGATGATGCGTGGAAGGTGCGTCTCCTGCTTCGTAAACTTGGTCCATCAGAGCTGGATAAGTATTGCAACTTTATTCTACCGCAGAACCCACGCGACCGTTCATTCGACGCCACTATTCAGTCCCTTAGCCAACTTTTTGGTGATCATCACTCGCTCTTCAGTACTCGATATCGCTGCTTAAAACTGATCATGAATGAGTCCGATGACTTCCTGACCCACGTCGGCGTTGTTAACCGTGAGTGCGAACGATTCAAGCTCAGATCCCTCACTGAAGACCAATTCAAGTCCCTAATACTCATATGCAGTCTTCAGTCACCCAAATTCTCCGACATCAGAACTCGTTTGCTAAACCGCCTTGAACAAGATCCAACACTGACACTCAATGCGATCATAGACGAGTACCAGCGCATCATCAATCTGCAGCGTGACACCACTTTGGTTCAATCTGGTGGCCAGGGTGGTTCCGAAGTTCATGCTGTTCAGCACCAAAGAAAATCTTCGAGATCGACGACCTCGAGTCTTTCGAATGCCAGCGCTGTTTCTGTCTCTAATCACTCTAAACCGGCTCAGAAGAAGCCCCCCTCTCCATGTTGGCACTGTGGAGCCTGGCATTATGTGCAGTTTTGTCCATTCAAACAGCATGTGTGCGATCGCTGTCAGAAAGTTGGTCACAAAAGCGGCTTTTGCAAATCCAACCGATCCAATAACCGTCGAAATGCACAGACGCAGCGTCGTTTTCACAAAAAACCGATCACCTCATCAAGGAGTTTAGCAGCAGTCTTCCATACTCATGCCGCGACTCGATGCAAATTTCTGACCCTCTCAATCAATGGTCAGCCAGTTCGTTTGCAGTTGGACACTGCATCAGATATCACCATTCTGTCGAAAAAGACTTGGCGAACCTTGGGTCAACCTCCCATCAAACCATCCTCTGAGACAGCCGTCAGTGCCTGTGGGGGTCATCTCCGCCTTCATGGTGAACTCCGTTGCTGCATTTCATTCAGAGGTACAACCTTCGATGGGACATGCTACATCACCAATTCCCCGCTCAATCTTTTAGGTTTAGATTGGTTCGAAGAACTTGGTCTCGCTGATCTTCCTATTAACGCTATCTGCAATCAAGTCCAAACTACTGCATCGACACAACAGCATGCTGAAGACCTTCGAAAAAGATTTATTGAACTATTTCAGCCTGGTCTTGGACCAGGCACCACAACCAAGTCAGGCCAAGGGAAGCGAAGGAGAAAGAAGCAAGTACAAAAAGCGTTCCACTCGACCTGCTGTTGGACACGTTTCAACTTCCGCCAATACCTCCAACAGAGACGACTAAGTCATCTACTCAAGTAGAACATCCTTCTGGTTCTGTGTGGTTGCCTCGGAGGTCGGATCGCAAAAGAAGACACCCAAAGAAACTTCAAGTAAATCCTCGATTACGTCGCTATTAACTTTTCCAAGGGGAGGTGTTGGGATATTCAGAAAAATATCCCAAAAACAATTATCCGGTTAAGTCTAATGCTACCCTTGAACGTTAAATGGTGTCATTTTTCTATTGGACGTTTCCCTACTAATCAATATTTATTTCGCGTGTCATTTCCCCATTGGTCAATATTATTTCACGTGTTATCTTTCTGTTGGTCAATATTTATAGTAATCCTAACTGTATAAATATGCATTTGTTTGTAAATCATTATTCGGCTCCTGACCCCATAAACAATTTCTCATCTACGGTTCGTGTTCTGATATATTGGAGATTGGGAACAGTATTGGGGTCGAACTGGGATATCTGAAGCTAGTCAATCGGTAGAAATTAGAGTAGTCACCTCGCGATACATAACATATTGGTTTATCAACACAAATACCGTAGTATTAGAAGTAGTATTAGTAAAGGTTAGGAGTAGGTAATTTTGTTCTAAAATAAACGATGAGTTGGCAGGGTAAAAAACATAAGTATCTTAAAACGAACAGGAAGTTCATCTGATACACTGCTACCGACCCAGAACAAGGTCATTTAGTGTCTCCAACCATTAGTTGCAATAATCGAAATGACTCTGACTAAACAGTCCGTATCTACATACACGGTTCAGTCCAACGACTTCATGAACTAATTCCACATTTTGATTTGATTTCTCTAAGCTTTCTTCCAATCAACTTCCACACCACCAAACAACGTGCGTCTATGTAGGTGGTTGGGCATAGATGATACATATCTCAACCACCTCATTCAACAAAGACTCAAAACCTCATAAACTGACTTACCATTTCTCATTTATAACTCTGCATCTAACCTTAATATTACTCACCCGGTAACCGCAAAATGCACGAGTAGTGTCTCTAACGCATCTATGATTATTTGGTGTATGCTACTTATACTGACAGATATAAGAAGTATGTTGCCACAATCTGAATTAGAATGTCTGGCAGCAGAAGAGTGAATTGAAGAGAACATAGAGGAAATCGGAGAGGAATCAAAAGAACAACAGAATTAAAGGAATAATGAGGTATGTCAAGGATAACGCAAAGAAGATGTGCAAATGATGTATTTAATATAGGATTTTCATATTTTACTAAGCCATTGTGTAATTTTGCATTAAAAAATAAGTCCGTTTCCCCACTGAGTTCTTGTTCACTACAATAATACTATTATACATATTTCTCAATTCTAGGATACGAAATCAAATCTATCATCATTTCAAACAATAGATGGAAAACCTTTTATACTGAATGAATATCAAACGGGTACTGCTCTACTCTTATGTTTAACGATTTATTTAATTAATTGGATTACTTCAAGTATAGTTGATATTACATCGAATACAGTATCATTAAATAAACAAATTTCAAGTACCATATCAAATGATGAAACAATCACCAATGTTAGTAACAACGACAATGTCAACAATGATAATAGTAATAATTCGATCAATAAGGATGAGAATTCCACCTTACTTGTTTCTTCGACTGCAAACATTCATACTACTTCTAATGATAATAATAAAATTGACATAGCAGCATGTAAACTGGAATTATTAATTTCATTGAATTTATTATTCCTCTGGTTTCGGTCAAATCGCTTCACTGAGATTAATGCAGGTAATCACATTAAAAAAATTTATTCGCTTATATAATATTAATTTAAGTAGTGAGTAGTGACAAAATATCCATCATTAAATCAAATAGTTAGTATTATTATGATTTTAAGATCAAATCTTCTTACCTGTTATAAGTATTTGCACAGATATCGGTGTCAATATTTTTGTTATAAATTTAAGCTGTTGGATATTTTGAAGAGTTAATTTATAATGAATCCGTTGTAATATATCATTATTACGGAACCCCATGGGTATATTAAAACTACATTTATATTAAACTTACCTTTAAAAAGTACAGAGACTTATGTTTATTTCCTTCTACAAGAAACCCGTCTTCAAGAATTTCTTTACTAGTGTTGTGATGATGTATGGTGTCAGAGTCTGATACAGATACATAAACTCCCTATACGCAATTCAAGCCCCCAACCGGCTACTTATTGTGAAAACTAAGAGTAGAGAATTTAGTTTATTGGGTTAAACCCATTCACAATCATAAGCATATATATAAAGAGAGAGATAGAGAGAAGTAAATCCATGTTTTGATTAATTACATGCGCTTGTCATTAAAAGATTTTTCATTGGCCCACTATATCAGGTGTTATGATTGATGAATGTTTCAGTGTTACTTAAGATATTATTGCTAGTATTAAGTAACTTTATCATTCTATTTATCGCTTTAATCGTTATGAATTACAAACATTCTAGTCGGTTCGCTTTTCAACAGTAATAATTAAATTGTAATTACAAATGATCATTATATAGAAATAATGTAGAACTCATGTACTAGGTAGACACTGAAAACAAATATCCCTTCACATACTATTCACCATACTACATGTTAACGAGTTCTTAAAATCACTTTATCATTAGGAAAAACGGATGAAATTTAAGAGTTCTTTTCTAATAAATCAGATTTCATTCTCATAAACATTTCTCTTTCTATGTTTTATTTAGGGAATAAATCGTCTTATCAACTGACGGATAAATTATTTCAATTAATAACTCCTACATTCACTGAAAATACAGTGTACTTTTTAAACAATTTACTTAAATACTATAAGCCGTTATTACATGATGTCGATAATCATAATGGTGGGCAAAAACAACCTACTGATATACCTGTACAATTAAACAACAATAATGAAAACACAAGTGATAATGTTAATAGCAAAATAATCGATGCTGACATTGTTGAAGGAGAACGTGAAAATTCCTTTCTCATTGAGAAACATGTCGATCCTTGTGGTGATGATGTTAGCAACCGTGAGAGTGAAGTCCATAACATCACTCCCATAGATTGGATTCGTTTAATGAAGCTGCCTGAAATGGTCGTACTACAAGTAACTTGATTTTTATTATTTATTAATACACTTAGGTTATGCATGATATTGTTCTTTGCTCAGTGATCAATCAATGTAAATATCTCAGCCCTACAGGTTAGTAGCAATCCGAATCGCTCAATGGTGACAACTTAGACTATGAAACTAGGTAACCCAGGTTTAAAATCCACGCCGGAGCACCAGCTCCCACAAAACTGCAGGTACGTGTTGGTGACGAATACCAACTAGCTTACTTACTTACTTACTTACGCCTGTTACTGCTAATGGAGCATAGGCCGCCGACCAGCATTCTCCAACCCACTCTGTCCTGGGCCTTCTTTTCTAGTTCCATCCAATTCTTGTTCATTCTTCTCATGTCTATTTCCATTTCTCGGCGTAATGTGTTCTTTGGTATTCCTCTCCTTCTTTCTTTAGTCTTGAGGATTCCATGTGAAGGCTTGTCTTGTGACGCAGTCGGGTGCTTTCCTCAATGTGTGTCCTATCCACTACCAGCGCTTCTTCCTAATTTCTTCCTCCACTGGGATCTGGTTTGTTCTCTAGTTGTTGCTAATAGTGTCCGGCCAACGGATCCGAAGTATTTTGCATAGACAACTGTTAATAAACACCTGTATTTTCTGGATGATGGCTTTCGTAGTTCTCCAGGTTTCTGCCCCATATGGTAGAACTGTCTTGACATTTGTATTGAAAATCCTGACCTTGGTGTTGGTTGACAGTTACTTTGAGTTCCAGATGTTCCTCAGTTGTAAATATGCTGCTCTTGCTTTGCCGATCCACGCCTTCACATCTGCATCAGATCCACTGTGTTCATCAATGATGCTGCTCAGATATGTCATGGTTTTAACATCTTCCAAATCGTCTCCATCAATTTTGATTGGATTGGTGCATGCTGTGTTGTGTCGGTGAATCTTGCTTTTCCCTTTGTGTATATTGAAACCTTCTGCTGCTACACTGGTCATCTTCTGCATTTCTTGCCGCGTTCGGGATAGAAGGGCCAGATCATCTGCGAAGTCCAGATCGTCCAACTGCATCCTAGATGTCCATTGTATCCTGTGTTTCCCTTCAGATGTTGACGTCCTCATGATCCAGTCGATCACCAGGAGAAAGAGAAAGGGTGAGAGTAAGCAACCTTGCCTGACACCGGTCTTCACTTCGAACGACTTTGTCAACTGTCCTCCGTGCACGATTTTGCAGTTTAATCCATTATATGAATTTTGTATGAAATTGACTATCTTCTGAGGTACGCCGTAGTGTCGAAGAAGTTCCCATAGTGTTGTTCTGTCCACGCTGTCAAATACTTTTTCGTAGTCAATGAAGTTGATGTAGAGTGATGAATTCCATTCAATTGATTGTTCCACAATGATCCGTAGAGTTGCGATTTGGTCTGTACACGATCAATCCTTACGGAATCCTGCCTGTTGGTCACGAAGTTGGGCGTCTACGCAGTCCTTCATCCTGTTTAACAATACCTTCTTGAAGACTTTTCCCAGTATTGAGAGAAGAGTGATGCCCCTGTAGTTATCACAGTTGCTGAGATCGCCTTTCTTCGGTATTTTGATCAGAAGTCCTTCTTTCCAGTCTGTTGGTACTTGTTCCTCATCCCAAATCTTATTGAAGAGAATGTGGAGTATCCTTGTATTTGCCACTACGTCTGCTTTTAGTGCCTCTGCTGGAATGTTGTCTGGTCCTGTTGCTTTGCCACTCTCGATTTGTCTGATGGTCATGCTGATTTCTTCAATTGTTGGTGGTCCAACATCGATTGGGAGGTCCGTGAGTGCTGCTTCGATGTTGGATGGGTTCAGTGGGGCTGGTCGATTCAATAGTTCTTTGAAATGTTCTACCCACCTGTTTCGTTGCTCTTCAGTGTTGGTGATTACCTCGCCTTCCTTGCTTTTCACTGGTCGTTCTGGTTTACGGTAATTTCCAGGCAGTTTCTTTGTTGTGCCGTACAGTTCTCTCATGTTTCCTTCTCTTGCAGCCTTTTCCGCCGTGATTGCTAACTCTTCCACATATTTACGTTTGTCAGTTCTGATGCCCCTTTTCACTTACTTGTTTACTTCTGTGTATTCTGCTTGTGCCTTGGCTTCCTCTACTCATGTTTGGCTGGTATTCATTGCTTCCTTCGTGTTCCTCCTTTCTTGAACCTTATCCAGTGTATCAACAGTGATCCATTCCTTGTGATGGTGCTTCTTGTGGCCTAGGACCTCATGACGTGTTGAAGTGATTGCCCCTTTGATCCCCTTCCAGTTGCTCTCCATAGTAGTTCCTTCTCCATTGAGTAGATCATGAAAGGCCTGGGACTTATCGCTCATGACTATCTTGAATTTGTTGAGTTTGTTAGTATCCTGAAGAAAGGCCGTATTGAACTTTTGTGATATTGTCCGCCCCGTTGTCCAGTGCTTCTTGAGTTTCAATTTCATCTTGGCGATCAGCAATTGATGGTCTGAGGCTATATCAGCTCCTCTCTTGGTTCTCACGTCTTCCATCGTCCTCCTGAACTTTTCATTGATGCAAATATGGTCGATTTGGTTTTGTGTAGTGTGATCCGGTGAAGTCCATGTGGTTTTGTGTATGCGTTTATGTGGGAATATGGTGCCGCCTATGACCAGTTTATTGAAGGCACATAGGTTTGCAAATCTCTCACCATTTTCGTTCCTTTCTCCCTGTCCGTGTCGTCCCATGATGTCTTCATATCCATTGTTGTCCGTTCCAACCTTGGCGTTGAAACCTCCCATCAGAATGGTCAGGTGCTTTGTTGGGCACTTCTCGACGATTGACTGCAGCCTATTGTAGAATTGATCTTTAGCGTCTTCATTGTAGTCGTTGGTAGGCGCATAGCATTGGATGACGTTCATTGAAATGCCCTCTTTCTTTGTTTTGAAGGAGGCTTTGATGATCCTTGGTCCATGAGATTCCCATCCTATAAGTGCATTTTGTGCTTGTTTGGACAGCATCAATGCAACTCCTTGTGTATGTGGGGCATTTACTTCTTCATGGCCGGAGTGTAACAGAAGCTCTCCTGAAGTTAGTCGTTGTTGTCCAACTTGCGTCCAATGTGTTTCACTGATCCCAAGCACCTCCAGGTTGTATCTTGTCATTTCTGGAGCAATTTGGAAGGCTCTCTCGGTGTCCCACATTGTATGAACATTCCATGTACCCAAATAAATGGTTGCTCTGGTTGTCAGAAGGGGAATCGGCTTCATAACTTCCGAAGGAATTCCAGGCGGACTTATACCAACTAGCACGAAAGCTAAATCAAAAGTAATTCCTTCCAGAGTACTTCCAACCTCCTAAGATCAAAACATTGTGTATGAGTCGCTTAAATTAGTGACCACGCTACAACTTGATCGATAGTGTTCGATCAGTATAATAGGCTAGATAAATATAAAATTGTTCAATTTATTGTTTCTATTGACAATTATTCTTTTAGTGTTCACCTTATGTTGTTAAATTTAAATTAGATATTTACAAATTGTTTTATTCCTGAGCATATATTTTGGCATCAGTCATATTATTACAGTCCATAAAGTCACTGAATATTTATCTAACCCATGTAAGGAGGTGCAAACTTCTTCAGTGGATTCTGATTGATAAACTTATAATATGATTATTCATCTTAACTGAAATGGTCCGAAATTCGGAATTGATTTAATAACTAATATTTTAAACTTTGTTAACAATTTCATGCTTCACATTTAATTTAAATTGTCAGTCAGTCAGTCAGTCAGCCACAACGTAGGACCAGGCACATATGTGCATCGGTCCAGGTTTCCATACCTCATTAGCACAGCAAGATGATCACCGGATTCATAGGAGTGGTTAGGTCAAAGGTGTTAATATATAAGAGAAAGATTGCAATAAGAATATAGTATAGGAAGAAAGAATTAGTTAGCAGAAAAAAGATATGAAGTGATTTTAATCTCTTAGTTTAAAGGAAGACAGGGAGTGTATACACCAACGCCATGTCACCAAGAGTCTCCAACCATTGGTTACGAATGTCACGCGGACCCCAACCAAGTAGTCTGCATCTACCAACATGGCTCAGACTAGAAGTTAGTGACTTCAAGCACTGATACCACATTTTGGTTTGGCCGCCCCTAACTTTCTCCCAACCATCTCCAACCGGTTAGCATTGCACGTCGTGGTAATCGGTGTTCAGGCATACGTAACACGTGGCCTAACCATCTCAGTCGATGAAGATTCACAACCTCATCAACTGATTTACCATCATTCCCTAATACCCTGCGTTTAACCTCACTATTACTTACCCGATGATCCCAGCAGACGCCAGCAATATTTCTTAGGCATCTGTGGTCAAATACTAGTAGCTTACGGTTGTCTTCTACTCTAAAGGCCATGTTTCGCTGACGTAAAGTAAGACAGAACGGACTGCCGCGAAGTATACTCGTCCTTTTATTGATAGACAGATATCTCGCCTTCGCCAAAGGTGACGTAAGTTGGCAAAAGCCAAACGAGCTTTTCGAATCCGTGCTGAGATTTCGTCAGACACCAACCCATTAGGGCTGATCAGACTTCCAAGATAAGTGAAGTTGTCAACGCGTTCGACTACTTCACTCCCTATTAATTTAAACTGGAATATGGTTCATTAAATTAATCTTCGCAGATGAACTCACATTTGTCTTTCATTAGATCCTGAGTTTTATCTCACATATATTTTTTTCTTTAAAATCATATTGTCTGTCCCTAGACTTCCTTGTTACCATCATTGCCATCACTACTTTTACTATTCTGATTTTTTTGATTTGATATTGAAACTTAAACTGATTCAGATATTTGTCAGGGTAGCCGTCACGGCTAAGAAGTATAGAAGTAGAAAGGTTTTACTCAAGTAATAAAGATCTATTGTTTTTGAATTGTTACAAATATTTTTCTAGTTATTGATCAAGCCATTTGAATTGTGTAGAAGTGGTTTAGTGTCCTAAATGTCCATATTTTAATTTTTAATTTACAAGTTTAAGGTATATTCCCCACTTACCTATTTTAGTGTGTCAATATTTGGGTAGTGTCACTAGGCCTGGACAAAAAATAATAATCTAAATTTGAATACACGAACTTGTGCTCAGTTCCTGATTTTTTTGCAGAAAAGAAGTCTTTTAATGTTTCTTTCTGCTAATTTTCACAGGGTTTTCAACCACTTCATATACCAACACAACGTTCATTATGCAGTTCATCAACAGATTACAATCCTGTACATCCATTCCTTCTTGATTTCTCCAATGATAAACTAGATGAATTAAAAATTTTAAACAATGAAAATATGCATGAAACTAGTGTTCCAAAGCCCAAAGAAGTTGGATTGGAACGTGTCCTGTGCCTGTTAACATCTGCTCGGTTGGTTTATGTGCATTCTTCTAAAAACGTTTCACTAAATGTTTAATGTAAACAATGTTCTGCAAATTTTTGTTTCTTAGATTTTAAATTACCACTATGGTAGGAAAAAAGCAATATATTTGTTCCATTTTTCTTAATTGCCACTACACATAAAATGCATCTTCGCATATGTGTTTACTCAAAAGACAATTGTAAGTTAGTAATTACTTTACAGTTATTGAAATGATCGTCTGACAGATTGATATACAATGTACAGTAATAATTGCAAAGACAGTCCCAATAGAAATTGGTTTGTTAAACGTCCAAACCAAACGCAACTCTTCACAATACTATTGAAATTTAAAAGTCGACACACGCTGAACCAATTCGGATTGTAAATTATATCTTATTATCAGGTTGTTACTATTATTATTATCACCATATATTAATTCATAGATATTGTTAGATATTATTTGTCAGTATTAAGAATCATAACACTTGCATAAAATTACTGCATTATACACACAATAAACATATCGATGCTGTTTTAGTCAATCTGTTTTATTTTATATCATCGTATCACTTGTCGTTCTCATCATTACTACGTGTATGTTTGCTCTTTCATATATGTGTTTGTATTTTCGTGTACTATTCACTACTTTCAATCACACCTCTGAGTAACAACTCTTTACATTTTTGTTTTACTTCGTCTATGGGTGCCATTACCCTCACCATTCCCCCTGTAAGGGTCTCAGAACCACAGTTGTGGGTCTGTTGAGTTTAGTTCAGCGATTTCTGTTGCGGATATGTTTTTTCAATTATTCTCATACTTTGTATATCAATCAACCCAACGACTGTTACTACCAGAATTCTTAGTAGTGTCTAGTTTCTTGGAGGCAGAACACTTTATTTTAGCGCACAACTCAAAATATGCAACCATCAAACAGTAAGAGAGATAAGTGAGTGTATCCAAACAAATATGTAAGCTGATGAGTCATACTCAACTAAATATGTATTTAGATGATTTCAGCAATTAACGTTTAAGTACGCAAACGAAATGGCGCATATAATACATACAACTATCCATACTCAATCATAGATCCACTTATACATGAAGTCTAATTACACACAGACTTAAAACTCAAAATAACTCGATTTTTATGTCAGTCACAAGTTAATTCACAAGCTCAACTCGTTCGACCATGTACGAACCTGCATATATATATGAGCTGGTTCAGCTCAGAGACACCTTCAACATCGTCCTGAGATACAAATATTTCCTACTATACATTCATCTCGTTGTACTAATTTAGTGTTGCATTTTGATCTGATGCACTTATGTGCGATTCATCCAATCAATTAGTCTGCAAGCAACCTAGGACCAGGCACATATTTATTATCCGTTCAAGTTGCTAGAGATCTAATTTTCTCATTCATAATAACATTATTATCATTAAGTGTTTTGTCTGTTTTTTTTATCTGATATTATTACGTTTTGCTGAAAATAGATATGTAGCTCTAATGTTCCCATCCCTAGTAAATTGGATTCCGAACTCTAGAGATAAAAATCCAGATTCCACAGAAACAACTGTCTGGTTTGGTTCATTCTGTTACAAAAGTCATTCCTCAAGCAGTTTAAAAGACATGTTCAGTGTACTTAACAAACCTACAACTATTACTGCTATTAATAGCAATATTAAAGAGACTCAGTCAAATAAAACAACTTCAAATAGCTTTGAAGAGCTACGCAACACCGACACTAATCCTGTGCATTTTAACGCTGTGTTTAACAATAATGAACAAATTAATCCTGAAGAATCTGACATACAAAAATCAGTAAACTTTGATATGTTAAATGTAAGTAAAACAGTTGATTAAACATTATTCTAAAAATTATTAATTCCTTTATTATTGTATTTCCTATTACTCTGTGGTGATGGAACTATGACTTAACAGTTACAACACTCAGATCTTAAGAAACAGATCACAGGTTTGAACCCCCTTTTACTTTTGCCTGAGTAGTTGGACACAGACCTGTACTTGATAGATATGCAATTTCTAAGAGAAACATCTACAAAATTTGGGTGTTCGAAGTGAAAAGCATCGGTTTTAGTACCCGAAATAAACAGCGACACTGTATTTATGGAGAAAATGGATAGGTGATCATCAGCTATATAAATACATTAGGTATAACTAGTCGAAAAGAAATGCTCAAGCTTAAACTCTGTAATTAATAGTAAAAAAATAAACGAAACTTCCATCCATAAATCAATCTACAAAGAAATGGCCTCTACGAATCTGTTTTTCTTCGTTTCCCCCTTTTGGTTTAACCGTATAAATATTCGTCAGTATAGAGTTGCAGAGATTGTTGAGCTTAATTGAAATCGTGAACCGACCTATGTTAGACCACCACTGAAAACCTGGGAGCCTTAGACTACCGTTTTGTCCTAGTATGGGACTCCTCGGTAATTTAGGTATTCACCAACGATACTCCTAATCCAAACTTTCTTCCATACTTTGCAAAAAATTAAAGTCAAGAGCCTTACAGCCGAAAATACTACGAGTACAATAAGCTTACCAAAACAATTATTAGTGAGAGTTCGAAACTTCCGTTTGTTGATATTCAAGACTGGAATCGATCGGTCTGTGCTGTCATATATGCATTCTTAATCGATCACATCAATATGTCGTCATTTTTTAAATCTCAATATATTTGATATGCAGAACAAAAAAGATACGTCCCATTCTATTTAGAACTTGTTAGGTGAATATACCTCCGCAGTAGATAATATTTTGGATGTTCGAAGTGAACGTTACTACATCCGAGTCTCAATGTAAACATCAACACTGAGATTAAGGTTTACTTAGGTGACTAGTCCCAAATAAAATGAAAAGCTCATTGTGAACACTTACTGCCAGCCACATACGAAATATACCAATTACTAGGATAATGTTAATTAAAAATTCGATTTTAAGGTTATCAACCTTTATTACTTGGAATAATTCCCTGAATTTTTCACCGATGACATAAAGATTTTTTCACCATAGGTAGAATTAGATAATTTTTTCATTTCGCGTAACTCATTTTTTAATAGACTGTTCAATCTGTGCACTTCACAGCAATACCGTTCTCTATCTAGTATATACCTGATACTCTTACTGTTCAACATTGTTTAGTCTTATTAAACCTTCAAATATATATATATGCATTTCTAGAAATCACATTTCACTACTGTGTCCATATTCTAACGAGAAGTAAAAAAAACTGAATCTGATATTAATTATTGTCATTTCTCTTTTTTTTTTAAATAAATATGAAGCCTAATCTACCTGAATCGGCTCCTCCTTGTGGTAACGGCAATCAACAATTATCTAATATCCCTGTAACTACCCATTATGAAACAATAAAAACCAATTCAATAAATAATCAAACCACAGAATCATCATCTCCCGAAGTAACTACGTCAAACGATTTTGTAGTATCGTCAACTACATCATCACTACCCTCCTCATTACTATCTCATGTTGGGACCTCTGGTGGACTTATCATGAATGCAGAGTTAGCTAAATTTATTCAAGAACAAGCCAGCCAGGTGTGTATGTTTGTTTTTCCTACACTAAATTTAACTAAATGTTACCATGTATAAAAGGTTGCAGTGATATGCTTATCTAGAACTATCTACACAGAACCTTTTGGAGTGTTTTGATGACTATAATTTATCAGATTTACGACACTAATTGAATCTATGTTCCAAGCTTTCGTGCTTATTTTATTTATCGATCCTTTATATTTAGTTACTTCTATCACCATGGGATTGTGTGCATCTTGGTCAAAAAACTTCGTTTTCACATAACGAAAACATAGAATACGACGGCATACAAATCGATCAATCGACTTGAGTGAAAAATGTCCAATTACCAGAAAGTATAGTACATGAAAGCTTGTCTCCGAAAACCTATCTATGTTTGGTAGTAGGAATATTACTTAAATGTATTTGCAGTAGACTCCAGACACTGATATGCAAATTAAATCAAGAAATATGGAAGCAGAATTATCTGCTAAACAGAACATGATTTTGTACTTTATATTGAGCCTGAACAGTAAGAACTGTGTTTTTCTGTAGTTGCTGAGATTTTGAAAAAGGATGGGTTTTAAGCAGTTAACTTTACTGAACAGATTATAATCAACACCCTACATCCCAAGTAACAGTTACCGTGCTGCTTAATAATCAGAAATCAAATTTGTCTTCTGTAAAATCATGTATACATTTTTTCGATTACTGACCACTTGTTACGAAATCTCTGCGTGGATTCAAAAAGCTCCCCTAGCTTTTACCAACTTGCATCATACTTGATATAACAAAGATATCTGTCTCCCAACTAAAGGGGTGGGTATACCTAGCATCAGTTCTCTTTGATTTATTTTACAGTAGCAGTAAAACGTAGTTCTTAAAGCTATATACTATATATAGATTACTAGTTTTTGATCATAGGTGTCTTCAAAAACATTTCTCGCGTATTTCGGAAACAATGTGTTAACGTTAGAGGGTAAGGGTATTAGAGAAGTATAGCAAACCGGTTGATAAAACCGTAAATCTTCATCTACCGAACGTGATTCATGCTTATATTCCTCCCATTGATAATTCTCTTCAAATTCATAATTATTCCACATAAAAATCAGAGATTTTGACCAAGTGTACGTTTTTTCGGACTGAATCATTTTACGTAAAATCTAACAACGTCGTTTGTTAATTTTCACCTAACATTTTATTTTAGGTTGCAGCTAGACAACAACGATTCAATATGTCTACTAATTCCATTATTAATGACGACCAACAACAACTGGATTCCACCGGAGCATCCATACCCACTACTGCTTGTGGAAATTCAGACGTCGGTTCCCTAAGAGGAAATTTACCTATGCTAGGAGGTGGAGTGGAAACATCTTTATCAAGATTAAGTTTAAGCGCAACATTCAAACGAAATCTACCACCAAGATATGCTAAATTATTACAGGCAAAAGAATTACAAGAAAAAGAGGCTTTAAAAAATCGATACAGTCACCAAACGCAGAAAGAGGTATTGTTTTGTGTACATAAAATAACTAAATATCACTTGATGAATTAATAATAGGAAGTTTGAGACAATTAACAAAGGATACACTAAATCTATGTTTTCTATCTGTCAGCGCTCACCAACAGGATATGTTAACAGTTTTGAGGCGACTCTGTGAGATTTAAAACTGTGATAGCCAAGTGTCAAATTCAAGAATTTTACCGCTCAAAAACATGCTACACTTCTGGTTGGTGTTAGATGAACCTAGACAACTGACAGAAATTTCTAAATATAGATTTGCTGCAATTTTATCATTAGAGTTGATCAGCACTTTTGACTAGACAATATGGTATTGGTTAGCAAGCTAGTACCTGTTTTTCAAACTAACAGTAGTGGTTTTATGAAGATGTGAGTTGGATTGTAAGTATCTTTTCCCACCAATTGACTTCAACAAAGTAGTTGATGATTGCCAGAAGTTCCGGTTTAAATCGCTTTCGGATTGCCTTCAATTATTATAAATTAGAAGCAATGATTATATTTCCTTGAAAAACCTCGAACCAGATTGTCAGACGAAATGGTGGATTTACTTAAAATTTAATCGCTGAGATTTCCCTCCGTTAATAGATACTGTTTTTCAGTCAATTTAATGGCAACATTCAATTTCTTGATCTATATGCTATGATATGTTCTAAATATTGAGTTTTCATCTGGTATAGTAGAAATTCACATCCATTTTACCCAGTTTTACTTTGGACTCATACTGCAACCTCCTATTACGAGGTTCTTTAGCACAGTAGTATGTGGTAACCATAGTTATACGATAAACCTTCATCATGAGACGTAGTCGAGCAGAGGAAGAGAGAAAGGCGGAAAGGGATAACTTTTTATCCCCTTCATCAGAAAATAATATATAAATAAGTGTTTTCAAACTATTCTCGTTTGTAGTAGTAGTAGCAGTAGTAGTATGTACATATCAAATGTAAACTACTGAAATTTTTTTTACGATTTTTTTCAACTGTTTTAGTTAAGCTCATCACTACTACCACTTGATAAACCTGCTCCTTTAGCACGTAAAGAGTCGGAAGCACCCACAGACCTTATTTGTTTATTATCATCATCTGATGTAAACCCAGTTGTACTACAACATCTTCATGAACAGCATATTCAACAACGGCCTCAATGGTTTTAAATTAATTCCATGAAATTAAGAAGAGAAAATTAAGTAAATGACAATGACAATATCAACATCAAGATCTGATTGAAGAAAAAGAAATAGTAGTGATAGTAAGAGGAACAGAAAATTCCAATGAATTTATTTGGAATGTCTTCAAGATCAACAATCCTGAGATATTATTATTATTTTGCACTATTCTCAAAAAACTAGTTCAATACCATTGTATAAGTTTGTTGATTCGTATGTTTTGTCGTTTTAGAAAACAATTAAATACTAAACTGTATATTGTAATAAGTTAAGATAGAATTGCTTGTTTTCTGTTTTGTTATTTTGTACTGTATCTTTTAGAATAATGAGATTTATTTCAAATATTGTTGAAATTTGTAAAAGAAAATTAACTAGGATTGTGAATGTAAAACTGTTTTTCAGTTAAAGGTATACATATAACTCATGAGTGTGAGTATAAACGACTATAGCCAAGATGAAAGGCTTATTTAGGTGATAATAAATGTTCGGACTAGTAATTCCATTGAGATAAATGCAACTCAAGTGTTTTTGTTCTATTACACAAAGAATTATAGAAAATTAGTTGTGTCATGTGATTTGTGTAGCTGGTCTACGTACGTGCACAAATCATAACATAGATATATGGTCTATAAAGTAAATTTCAAGATATTTCGATATTATTTTAGGCAAATTTTACAAATTGCGCACTGTCCACTAATAGCCTGAAGGTGAATTTCACAGAGATTATTACAATTCTTGTAACTCGCGAAAAGTCAGTCATATACCTAGATAAGTATAAATGTCCAAATCAGATGCTGAATGATGTTTTTGATGTATTACATACTAAATAAAGCAATGGATTTCGATTTAGCGGGTCAATAATATCATCCGTGTTATGTAGTCTGAAGTTCGATTTCATATGTGAATGTGACAGTACAATACATGCGTAATACTTTTCCAGATAGAGACGTTCCTGTGGAGAAAACCATACAAATGTACAAAAACCAACTATCTAAATAATGAAGCACTTTTTATAATAACTTATAAATCACCATATAAAATCTATGTAGAACAGATAACTTTTCGATGAATATATATTTTAATCGCTGAAAAATTCCCTTTATATTAAAAACACAATTGTATGAATGAAGAATATTCTTTTCAATGAATTTCTCATCAGGTTCTACAATTATAAATCCAGATTAATAATCCATAAAATTGACCAGATTTAAGGCAGAGTACATCATTTGGAAATTGTCAGATTAAGAAATTTTCACACTGCTGAGGAGTCCCATACTAGGACGAAACGGCCGTCCAGTGCTTCCAGGTTTTTAATGGTGGTCTAGCTTCAACTGACTCATGATTTAAATCTGTGAGAATCAGGAATTGTTTGTTATATAAACAAAATTATTAATGTTGGGGCTGACTTATATGAAGTGTTAACTTGAATCAGTTTATAAGCGAAATAAAATTGTGAGACAAATAATGATAAGAATAAATATGGTTAACATGGCGTAAGAGAGGGAATAATGTAATTATAATTCAGAAATTACGTAATATGTGAAATAATTAGGTCAAATATAGTAGATTCAGGGGTGGATATTGAATAAATTCCTCAAAAAGGGGTTTATCAGGTGTAAAAACAATAATAATTTTGGGACACAAAATGAACATTAATCAAATTACGTCACCACATTATAAGATTGATTATTAGCTAGTTGGCCAGGCTAAAAGGAGTGGCTGAACATACTTCTTTTGGATACAAAGCTCTGGCTTTTTGATCCGAAAAGCATTCTTTACGCTGTCTTTTATTGGCTACGTTTTTATCTATAAATTTCTCCGGATATTCATTTTCCTTCAGGGTTGTAAATATTGTCTTTGTTTCATCTTCAATCGTATCCATAGTGCATATAGTCTTGATTCTATGATGTAGTGTCTTGATAAGGTTCCTTTTTTGTTGCAGAGGAACGAAACTAAGAAAGTTAGTATATTGACCCGTCCAGGTCATTTTCCTGTTTATGTTTCTTTTTAGCGTTCCATCTTTTCTCCTTGTAAGCAGAACATCTAGGTAGGCTATTTTACCCCTATTTTCTTTCTCACATGTAAATTTTATGGACGGGTGAGCTGTATTGAATTGCTCGAGTGTTCTTATCAAGTCCGTATGCTCGTTACAAAGAATAAATGTTTCATCCATATATCGACAGTACAATGAGAACTTATTGATCTCTTGTGCCAGTGGGCCATTTTCTAGTTTAGAAAAGAAAATGTTTGTCAATATAGGACCCAGGGGTGAACCCATTGCGATGCCATCTATTTGTCTGCAGATTTCACCATTGAATTTGAAATGTACATTCATAGTGCATTTTATTAATAATTCTTTGATGATCTCCACAGGGATTGTCGTTTCTAGTTCCTGTTCTCTAAGTTGTTCACAAATATATTCTACAGTTTCTCTGAGTGGTACATTTGTGAACAGTGATGTAACGTCAAAGGAAATCATCGTCTGATCTTTCGTGTTTATGTTTTTAATCCTGTCAACGAATTGGAATGCGTCCTTAATACTATGTTTTACCAGGCGATTATGGAGTGGTTTCAAAACAGTTACTAGCCACTTTGCTACAGTATGATATGGGGAATCGCACATGTCCAAAATTGGCCTTAATGGGATATCCGGTTTATGTATCTTTGGCAGTCCGTATATTAGTTAGCCCCAACATTAACAATTTTATTTATATAACAAACAATTCCTGATTCACATATTACAATTTCCAAATGATGTATTTTGCCTTAAATCTGGGCAATTTTATGGATTAATCTGGATTTATAATTGTAGGACCTGATGAGAAATTCATTAAAAAGAATATTCTTCGTTCATACAATTGTGTTTTAATATATATTTGAAGTTTGGCGAGATAACTAACTCGCTAACTTGGGTTAGAATTGTTATAACTTGTTGCTTGAATGCTACTTGTTATATGTGGTCGTCGCTGATTGTTGTGTCGGAAACGCTTATCACTTATACTCGGAACGAGGGACCTCCGCAATCCCCACGACGCGAAAGTAAAAACACCAAAACTGGTATAAGTGAATATTTATTAACCCCAAAACACAACGACAGATTAAAAACAATTCATCATATACTAGGTGTAAATCTGATTATCACTTCCAACAGTAAAACTTAAGTTTGTTTCAGATGTCTAAACGTTTTTTAAATGAACCTTTTAAGTGGGTATAATATTTTGTGAAACTTATTAAAAGTTTCGGGCTTTTCTCGTAGATTTACTAACTGAATAAATATCATCATGAAATAGATGCCCATAAGTAGTTAGTCTAAAGTTATTATTCAAGTCCAAGATTATAAACCACTTCCTGTTTCAAATAGACTATTAGGGTTTAATAAATATTGCACGTATCCGAATTAAAGTTAACAGTGTGACATCCGAACTTAAATAAATGATTGGTTCGAAATTACGAGGACTATCCAGTTGAATTCAAATACTCAAAGTTATACGTCATATATGCCTGTTAGTCTGGTGTGTGCTACTTACGTCGACAGATATAAGTGGTATGTATCATCAATCGGAAGTGAAATGCCTGGCGGCAGAAGGTTAAGAAGATCGAAGGAAAGAGAACAGAGAATGATTGGTGTGGAAACGAAAGAACAACTAAGTCTGGAACGATTGACAGACATTTTGCAAATAAAGTATTTATTGTATGGTTCTCAAATTTTACTAAGAGATTCTGTAATTTTGTGTACAAATACTTCCGGTTATTCCCACTGGTGTCTTCATTCACTATAGTAAAACTAATACTTGTTAAGGCTAACAGGCATAATTTATTTCAATGGTTAGGAGAAAATATTTTCTGATGGTGACCGAAGTATGGATCGACTTTGCGAATACGGTTGTACGCTAGTTTACTTCCCACGATCCAATAGTAATACAAATTATTGGTATTCCCCTATATTTTAAGTCTCAAACCCTAGTTAGAAATAAGGTATTTTCTTATTATCATGGCAACAGCGTAGAACAAGCTTTTAACCATATTTATCCCTATTCTACGGTACTTACAAATTTAAAAATGGATCACATTGAGAATTAACTCGAAAATCTGAGGGACGAACTATTTTTTCATTGGAGGAGATGGCAGTTTCAGAAGGAAAAGTTACCTGACTACTTGTCTACACCTGTTACTCCTTGTGGAGAAGCATAGGCTGCTCGCCAACATTTTCCATTCAACTCTGTCCTGGGTAATTCACCCCAGTTGATATTCATTCCTATGATGCCTGCGTCTGATTTCTGACGCAGTGTGTTCTTTAGTCTTCCTCCTTTCCGTTTCCTTTCAAGATTCCAAGTTGGCGCCTGCTTCATGATGCAGTTTGATGATTTCCTCATTGTAAGTATTGTCCACCTCCAGCGTTTTTTCCTAATTTCCTCCAGCTGAAATCTGGCTTGTTCTCTGCCACAATAGGTTGTTGCCGATGGTATCCGACCAACGGACATTGAGTGTCTAACGTAGAAAATTTTTTTAGAAATACTTATACATGTTTGATTATGGTTGTAGTAGTTCTTCAAGTTCCAGCTTCATACAGTAGAACTGTCTCGACGTTCGTATTGAAGATTCTGAAATTGATATTGGTTAACAGTTGAGTTCCATATGTTCTTCAATTGTAGGAATGCTTCCCTAACATCGCCAATTCTTGCACTTACGTCTGCATCTGATCCTTTTTGTTCATCAGTAATGCTGTCAAGGTACGTGAAAGTTCCCACCACTTCCAGACTATCTCCATCAAGTTTGACTGGGTTTGTGTTCTCCGTGTTGTATATGAGGATCGTACTTTTTCCCTTGTGTGTATTAAGGCCTACTGATGCGGTCTGCTGCTGATACATTAGTTGTCTTCATCTGCATTTGTGCGTGTGTATGTGATAGAAAGGTCAAATTTTCTGATTGATTCCAAGCTGTTCATTGTATTCCGTGCTTCCACTCAGATCTGGAGGTTCTTATAATTCCGTCAACTACCAGAAGAAACAGAAAAGGAGAAAGTAAGTAGTCTTTTCTTATTCCGGTTCTCACTTGGAATACGTCTGTCACCTGTCCTCCATCCACAACCTCACAGTGTAGTCCGTCGTATGAATCCTATATGATATATATAGATCTCAGGTACACTATAGTGTCGAATAAGGTTCCGTAAGATCCTCCTATTCACCCTGTCAAACACCTCAATCAAGGAAATTGATATATAGTGACGAGTTCCATTCAGTTAATTGCTCAACAACGATCCGTAGTGTAGCGATTTGGTCTGTGTACAACCGATCCTTACGGAATCCGATCTGTTGATCTCGAAGCCAGTGTTTATTAAATTTTTCATCCGATTCAGCGACACTGTTGAAAATTCTGGTACCGACAGTAGTG